TATTTGTAATGAGAAAGGCTTAAGATCACAGGCTTTCATTTCTCCCAATCAAGTTTTAATTACCGAAGAGTTTAGTAACCGCTGAAGCGTGCAGCTACCACGTTCTTTGTTGCTGAGAGATTTTTTTTTTTTCAAAAGAGCTTCCACCGCTTCGTTGCCTTCTCCTCTTGTCTCTGCAAGACCTCACTCAATATAGTGTTAATCGTCTTTTTCATGTTCATTTTCTTTCAAAACAAGCCTACGTTCTCATTCTCTGGTGTCAGAGCATTAGCTGTTCCTCATTAACTGCTCCTGGTGTCGTAGGTAGGGGCAGAGCAAAACCTCACAGATGCAGGTGTGGCAGGCTGGGTACCACCAGCCCAGCAGGAAGACAGCCTGCTACAACCCAGTGTCATCTCATACAAGGCTGATGGGCAGAACCTCTGGATCCCACAACTCAGGGTCTGGCCTTTGTATATCATCTCAGCAGGTGACAGATCACCCAACCATCCTGCTGTCTTATTGCTTTTATTCTATCTGTTTTTCCTGGTACTCGGTATTGAACCCAGGGGCACTCTACCACTGAGTTACATCCCCAACACTTTTAATTTTTTTTTTTTTTTTAAATTTTGAGACAGGGTCTTGCTAGATTGTCCAGGGTAGCCTCAAACGTGTGATCCTCCTGCCCCAGCCTCCTGGCTCACTAGGATTACAGTTGTGCACCACCACACCCAGTCTGTTGGCTTATTTCTTCCAATACTGAAAAGCACTTGTACTAGTCAAGTCATACTGCAAGATCTCCAAGCATTGCATTGTATACCATCTTCATGTTGGAGACAAGCTCAGCCAGGTATGTGTCCCAGAGGACATACAATGTGGGCGACCAGCATCTCAGCCTGTCCTCAGCACTCTCCAGTGAGGCCCTGCCCTGCCACTCAGGCCTGTCACCTGGTCCTCAAACTGATCTTGTGTTGGACCCTGGGGCAGTCTTGGAAGTGTTTTGGTCCATGACAGGGTCCTCTGCAGGGACACAGTGATGATCCATGCCTCCTTGGTTTGCTACCTTGGTGGAGTGCATTAACCACCCCCTACCACCGTCCTTTGTTTCCTTGATGGAAGAAGATAACACGACCATCTGCACACTTCAGTAAATTGTTTTGAGCATCCTTTGAAAACAATGTCCTAAAGCCTTATTTTTAAAAGTAAATGAAAAGATTTTTTTATCATATATATATATATATATATATTATACTTTTATTTATTTATTTTTATGTGGTGCTGAGGATCGAACCCAGTGCCTCACACATGCTAGGCAAGTGCTCTGCCACTGAGCCCCAGCCCCAGCCCATGAAAAGCATTTTTAAAAAGTTTTTGAAAATGGATGTGGGTCCTTCTTATCCCGTCCTCCTGCCTCACAAGTTTTCTTCCTCATTTATCCATCCAGCACATTTTTGATGTCTACATCCTGGGGCTCTGTTTAGTACTGGGGAGAAGAATTTAAGGGAGAAGAGAGGATGTTCAAGCTGGGCACAGAGGAGAAATCAAGCTTCCAACTTCCCCTTCTAACACTCTCTGAAGTTAAATTCCAAGGCCCCGGCCTCCTCCCCCGGCATCCCTGGCAAGGCCCTGTCCTGCCACTCCAGGTTGGGTGCTGCTCCCCGCAGCAATCTGTCATTAGACCCCAGAGCATGTATCTGAGGATATGTGCTCTCTGAGCACATCCACAATTCACCACTATTCATGCTGTTTCCTGAAACATCTCCCTTTGCCTTTTTCTACTTAAAATCTTACAACATGCCATCAGACTTTTCTTGATGTACTCAACTAACCCATTGGTGTGTCCTCCGCCTCTCAACCTCCAGAATATATTCTACCTGCTTCTTATAATCGTTTACATCCTTCATCCAACACACATTTCTTGAGTCCAGTTATGTGTACAGGCATTTGGTAGTGTGCTCAACATTCAATTTAAACAACACAGACAAGGTTCCTGCCCTCCGGGAGCTTGTATTTCCTCAACTCTTCGTTGTTTGAGGTCTGGAGCTGGGGCTTACTCTTCATGTGTCCTTAGCAGGGACAGCAGCAGCTGTAGAGCAGTTGAACTGGCTTGGTTGTCAAAAGTCAGAGGAATTCTCAGTAAACACCTGAGATACATTTTCCTAAAGTTAACCCCTGGCACCATGGTGACAAATCACTTATCTGGACTCTGCTCAGACCCCACTTCCTGGCCTGAGAGCTCCATTCTCAACTCTCAAAGATAGTCCAAGTAACCTTGTACTTGATTCACTTTGTGGTCTCTTTAAGAAAAAGAAAGATTCCCCTTTTCCAGTGTCCGCAGACTCTCTTGCTCCCGCTGCTCTTACAAAGCAGCCAACTGTAGTTAGCGACTCTTGTGGCAGCATAGTTACTAGCTGGTGAAGGCCAGTACCCCAGTCACTCTCCCAGGAGACCCTCTTCTTTCTGTATACCTGCCATTTGGGGTCCACAATTTGGGGCCAGGTCTTTGTATGGTTCAGCCCCACAAGGTAGACCTGGGTTTTGCTAATTTTCAGAAAAGAACCAAGAGGGTCTGAGAAGAGAAAGGACTTGCTGCAGTGTCTCAGCAGGGGTCAAAGCTATTTCTGACCAACTCATGCTCCTCTACCTCTGAGCCCTCCCTCCATCCTAATGCCAGGAAAGGAAAAGTAGCAGAGTGCAGGTCATTTGGGATATTTACATACACTTTTTCTTCTTTGTTGCTGTTGTTTGTTTGTTACTAGGTTTTTTAAAATTTTTTAAATTTAATTTTTTAACTTGTTCTAATTAGTTACACATGACACCAGAATGAGTTTTGACACATTGTACACAAATGGAGCACAACTTCTCCTTCCTTTGGCTGAATGGGGTACAGAGTCACATTGGTAGTGTAATCATACATGTATATAGGGTAATAATGTCCGTCTCAGTCCACTTCCATCCTTCCCATCCCCACACTCCCTCTCCTCCCCCCACACCCCTCTGTACAATCCAAAGTTCCTTCATTCTTCCCTACCCCCACCCATTATGGATTAGCATCCACTTATCAGAGAAAACATTTGGCCTTTGTTTTGGGGGATTGACTTTTTTCACTTAGCATGATATTCTCCAGCTCCATCCATTTACCTGAAAATGCCATAATTTCATTCTTCTTTAAGGCTGAGCAATATCCTATTGTGTATATGAACTACATTTTCTTTATCCATTCATCTGTTGAAGGGCATCTAGGCTGATTCCATAGTTTAGCTATTGTGAATTGTGCTGCTATAAACATTGATGTGGCTATGTCACTGCAGTATGCTTATTTTAAGTCCTTTGGGTATAAACCAAGGAGTGAGATAGCTGAGTCAAATGGTGGTTCCATTCCAGGTTTTCTGAGGAATCTCCATACTGCTTTCCATATTG